ATTTTCTATTCTTTCTATTCTATTTTCTATTCTTTCTATTCTATTTTTATTCTATTCTATTTTCTATTCTATTCTGTTTTCTATTCTTTCTATTCTGTTTTCTATTCTGTTTTCTATTCTTTCTATTCTATTCTGTATTCTATTTTATTTTCTATTCTTTCTATTCTATTTTCTATTCTTTCTATTCTATTTTCTATTCTTTCTATTCTATTCTCTATTCTATTTTATTTTCTATTCTATTTTCTATTCTTTCTATTCTATTCTATTCTATTCTATTCTCTATTCTATTCTTAGACTGTATTACTATTCTTCTCACTCTTCCTATTACCTGTCTCCTTTTCTACTTACGGCTATAATCTTGTTTATATTGTTTATATTTGGTTTGATATAAAGTAATATATAAATATATTACATTAAATATAATATATAATGTAATGGAAAGCAATCCAGGTTATATGACTATATAGCCTTGATTATATGGTTTTATTTAGTTTCCTAGTTTGATTTTGGTTGCTGATTTAATATCCTATGACTACCCCTAAGTGTTGCATCTTACGATTCTTGCTGATTGTATCTTTTACGTACACTGAAAGCATTTCCACCCAGGCAAATTCCTTCTCTGTCCAATCACACTCAGCCAATAAAGCCAATCTTCTATTTTTTTTTCCCCTCCCACCGACTCCGCCAGGAAACCAAATCCTTTGCGGTGGGGATTTTCAAAGGCCAAATCATCACCGAGCAAGTCTTCCCTTACCCTTCAGGTAGGAGGGGGGGGGGGCCAGGTGGGTTGGGGGGTCTGTGGGGGGGGCGTGCATTTTGTGTGGGGGGGATTTGGCCGGTCCAGCACATGGGCGTATGTGTGAAACGACCCCTTCTTTGCTTGCTGGCAACTGAGGCCTGTTTGCAGAAGATTTGGGGGGGTTCAGAGAGGCTCGGGTGCCCCCCACCACCTTGGCCTGGTGGGGCAGGGGAGTGCTGGCACGACGGCGGTCCTCGACATACAGCCAAAATTGCCAGCAGCGTTCCTATCGCTGAGTAAAGGGGAAGCGAATCGCGCTCGATTTTACAACTTTTCAGCATGTGACCCTGGAGGAATGCAGCAATGGTCGTAACTATGAGGACTGGGCACATAAGTCGCTTTTTCCAGTTCCTTGTAACTTCGAATCGTCACTAAGTGAATTGTGGCAAGTCAAGAACGGCCAATACTTTGATTTTTTTTGAAATGGGGTTCTTCGTTGCGTCGTCTTTGGGTTTTTCCAACGCTGCAACGGTCATATGTCGAGGACTGGTCATAAATTTCTTTTTTTTTTTTAAGTTGGAATGGTCACTAAACGAATAGGTGTAAGTCAAGGACTGGGCCTAAGTCCCCTTTTTTAAAGTTTGGTCACTAAATGAGTGGACGTGAATTGAGACTGGCCGTATGTCCCTCCTGTGTTATCATAACGTCGAACGGCTGTGAAACCAACGGTCATAAGCCAAGGACTGGCCCTAAGCCACAACGGTCGTAAGTGCAAGCATAAGTCCGAGGACTGACCCACCTGGAATAACGCCCCGTTTCTGCTTTTGCCTCAGTCCTCAACGAGGAGCAGACGCAAACTTTGCAGGAGCTGGTGGGCCCCGTCGCCCGCTTCTTCGAGGTGAGGGGCTGAAGAGGGGAGGGGGGGGAGAGAGTTGGGGGGCAGGGGGAGGTCAGCCCCCCCCTCCAACGACACCATCTGTGCGTCCGTCTCCCCTTTTCCGCAGGAGGTGAACAACCCGTCGCGGAATGACGAGCTGGCCCAGGTGCAGGAGAAGACAATGCAGGGCCTGAAGGAGATGGGGGCCTTTGGTCTTCAGGTCCCCACCGCGTTTGGGGGTCTGGGGCTCACCAACACCCAGGTCAGTCCTGCCCACCCTTAGAGGGAGGGGGTGCCCCCTTTCCTCCCCCGAGGGGGGGTGCTCGGAGGCTGAACGATCCTTGCACATGGTCTCTCTCTCTTTCTCTCTCTCTCTTTCTCTGA